ATGTATATTTGGGTTTAACCTGATTTTACATAAATATATAAATATGTTTATATTTATATTAATACTTGGGGTGAATCGGATAACCCGAAACATCAATCCGAGGTCTGCTCAAATTCAATTCGGGTTAAAAAAAAAATTCTCATACCCAACCCAAGTATTACAAATTTTGACTCAAACCTTGTTTATTTGGGGTTAAACTTGGGTTGAATTTGAATTGACTCGCCCAAATTGTACCTATAATTTTTAATAAAATTAAAAAAATTAATTATAAATTATACCCTGAAAGATAGTTCAAATTTAAATTTAGACTCCCAAAAATCAAAAATTTTAATTTGCACTCTCAAAAATTAAAATTTATATTAATATGCACCTTAAAAATAAAAAATCTTAATTTGCACCCTCAAAGATAGTATATCAATATGCACCCTAAAGATAAAAAATTTTAATTTGCACCCTCAAAGATAGAAAATTATATCAATGTGCACCCTAAAGATAGAAAATTATAATTTGTACCCTCGAAGATAAAAATTTATATCAATGTGCACCTAAAACTAAATTGATAAATTATGTCTAGATTCCCTCATATTTGTTACTTAATCATTTGGACCCTTTACATTTAGAATATTATTCATACATCTCATGACATTTGTGCATGTGTAACACATAACCCCTTTTCGTTGATATATGTTAATATAACCGTTAAAAAAATATGATTTTATTTTAATAAANCCTATTATCAATTAATTGAATTTATCTAATCTATTTTTTAAATTTAATTTTTAAATTCATCTAACATTAATTTAAAAAAAAAGCTCATAAAATTATAGCGACTCCAAAATATTAGATAAACTTAAAAATTATACATAAAAATTAAACCTCCAGTGATTAGCCTCACTTGAAAAAGATAATATTTTATACTAATCAATTAACGAGATCTTANATTATCTAATTAATTGGATTTATCTAATCTATTATTTAAATTTAATTTTTAAATTCATCTAACATTAATTTAAAAAAAAAAGGCTCATAAAATTATAGTGACTCTGAAATGTTAGATAAACTTAAAAATTATACATAAAAATTAAACCTCCAATGATTAGCCTCACTTGAAAAAGATAATATTTTATACTAATCAATTAACGAGATCTTANTAATGTGTAATCTTTTATTTTATTAGATATTTAAATGGGTACATTTGATTTTGAACTTTAGATTATATTAAACCCATAAAATAAAGGATAATATGAAATTATAATTTTTTATTAGAAAAAAATCATATTTTTTAACGGTTATATTAACAAATATCAACGAAAAGGGGTTACGTANCGGTTCAGTTCATTAAAATTCGACTCAGACAAGTGACGATTAAAAAAAGAAAAAATGACAAGTAAAAGAAGAAGATTAAGAGTCTGAGATGAAACTCAGATAAGTGNATGATACGTGCACAAACGTCATGAGATGTAGGAGAAATATTATAAATGTGAATGGATCTAAATGATTAAGTGACAAGTATAAGGGGATCTAAATATAATTTATCAATTTAATTTTAGGTGCACATTGATATAAATTTTTATTTTTGAGAGTGTAAATTGAGATTTTTTATATTTGAGGGTGCATATTGATATAAATTTTTATATTTGATAATAAAAATTGAGATTTTTGATCTTTGGGGGTGCATATTGATACAAATTTTTATCTTTGATGGTATAAATTAAAATTTTTGATCTTTAAGAGTATAAATTAAAATTTAAACGATCTTTTAGGTATAATTTGTAATTAACCCAAATTAAAATTAAAAATGTTTTATAACCGGGGGACAGGGGAGGCTATCAGCTGTGCGAGACAAGGAAGTACAATTAGAGAGCACTAGGAAGACCAATCTAAGAAAAGCAAGAGAAAAAAATCCTCTCTCTGTCCCTAAACCGTTCATTCGAGAAATTTTCAGAGCGATGCGTTTCGATTCAAGTCCACTTCGATTCTTCAACAGCTCCACCATCATCATCTGTAAGTTTGTCTGATTCATCTAATTTGTGTGTCTCTCTCTGTGTATTTCTCTCTGATTGCCTCGATTTCTCACTATTAATCTATACATCTCCCTCGTGTGCTTAATAATCGAGCTCACGTATACCTCTCTAGCACTGTATGTATCTCCATTGCGTCCTTGCATTACTGTTCCAAACCCTAGGTTGCCAAGGACTTCAAAGCTTGTAGCTTTGTAGGAGGTTCTCAATTACAGGTAAATTATCATTGATTTTATAGCTAAGGACATGCATTTTAACACACCATTTGTCTTTGGTTTATGACGTGTTTGCATACTTCGTTTCCAGGGAAAAAAATTTGTGTATTTCCACCTACATTAAGTAATTTAAGGGTTTTATAGTATGACTATCCTAGAATTGCGACATTGTGTGTTGAAAAGAATCTATGTCTTTTATCTTCAGCTGGATTAGTACAGATCAATGTCATTCTCAAGATGTTTAATTTTGTGATTCAATGTGCCTGTTGGTTTGTTTTTGATTCACATGATAATGTTGCGCCCATGAGCGATGTTGGTAGGAGCTTAGTTTTTCATTCCATTGCAGTTTGATTTGTAGTGTGAGGGCCAGTGATTTGACATGGACAATCTATTAATACATGGAAATGGAGCCTTACAAGGGAATCCAAACGCTTTTTCATTAAGTTTCGAATTTTTAGATAGAATTTTGTTTTTAGCAGTCGAAGAAACAGACTTTTGTGTGAACAGACTGACTTATGCGTGAATGCTAAAAAAAATCATGAGACTATAAATGACAGGATTTCTTCTCCTCCAGAAAGGTAAGCAGTGTAAGAAAAAGCAGGGGCAGCCTCAAACTATGCTGCGAGGGGTCATCCCAAGCCTGGCACCCAAGTTAACCATTGCGTACAAATATGAAAAGCAAGAGCCTGGGTTTGCATGCTGTTCTAGTTTCATTAGCCGAGTACTGCAAGCAAACCTAAATACAAAAGCTTCATTTGTTCAACAGCGCAATTCATAACAAATTATTTTAAACATAAAACAAAATGAATTGTTCCAGCTGCATTGTCCCAGATGCACAAGGCCTCTATAGCTCTTCAAATCTAGAGAAGTAGAATGTGCATGCAGCGTCCATGATTTCTGACATGCCTATGCTTCTCTGAATCCTTGAACTGGAAAGAAAAGAGCTTGCCTAGTAATTCAACAGTATATAGTACCCAGTTTTGGGGTCACCAAGTATTCATGTGAATGTAAATGCAAGTACAACTCTTTGCATGGTAGTTCAAGTGCTAGAGGTTACGTAAATCCTGTCAATAGAAGTTACTATTAAATGTATAATTGGCTCAGCAGGTAGCTGACAGTTTGTGAAAGTAGACTGCATATAAGAGGCTTCATACATGGTGTATTACATGTGAAATCAGGGGTGGCAGACCTAAGGATACTAGTTATTTCACACTTGCTGGAATCCATATATTAAAGCTCCTTTTTATTTTTCTTGACTCCACCAATCAAAGTAATGTGACCTTATTGGTAAGCTTGCTTTGCTTTATAGTGATGTGGTAAATATCTCCACAGCTATTAATCTAGTGTTGGGTTGCAAATCTGATAAAATACTGTCAGTTGTAATGCTGCGGAATTTTTACTCTATTCCTGATGTTCATGTCGTATAACTATTTATGGGTTATGCCCCTTGTGTTTTGTTTGGTTTTTTGGTTGAATAAAACTTTCTTTCTTGGGGAAGAAAAAGCAGGACCAAGTTTATGAGCATGCTGATCATTCCTGAATGCATACTTTTCCTTGGGGGCCTTGTGCTGTTGCCCCCGCCTTTGTTGCCTTCTTAAAGAACCAGAAGCTGTGGCAATTCATGAGGATGACTGCTGCTATTCAAATCTCTTAGGTACCCGCTCTGAGATTTTTTGATGTTTTCTCTTCCTAGGTAGGCTTCAAAACAAATCTTANAAATATCTCCACAGCTATTAATCTAGTGTTGGGTTTCAAATCTGATAAAATACTGTCAGTTGTAATGCTGCGGAATTTTTACTCTATTCCTGATGTTCATGTCGTATAACTATTTATGGGGTATGCCCCTTGTGTTTTGTTTGGTTTTTTGGTTGAATAAAACTTTCTTTCTTGGGGANAGGTTGAACTTGAGTTGAATTTGAATTGACTCGCCCAAATTGTACCTATAATTTTTAATAAAATTAAAAAAATTAATTACAAATTATATCCTGAAAGATAGTTCAAATTTAAATTTAGACTCCCAAAAATCAAAAATTTCAATTTGCACTCTTAAAAATTGAAATTTATATTAATATGCATCTTAAAGATAAAAAATTTTAATTTGCACCCTCAAAGATAGTATATCAATATGCACCCTAAAGATAAAAAAATTTAATTTGCACCCTCAAAGATAGAAAATTATANCGTGTAAAAGAATAAGAAAATGTTGCTGATAAAGAACAAAAATAGCATTTGGTTTTTCATAATGCTCCATTTCGATTTCAGTTTCCAGTTGATTGATGCCATAACAGGGTTTGTTGTATTTTCATTTTACTATTGCAGTGGAATATGATGCACCAGTATCAGATGAAGGAACAANGTATCAATGTGCACCTAAAACTAAATTGATAAATTATGCCTAGATTCCCTCATGTTTGTTACTTAATCATTTAGACCCTTTACATTTAGAATATTATTCATACATCTCATGACATTTGTGCATGTATAACACATAACCCATTTTCGTTGATATATGTTAATATAACCGTTAAAAAAATATGATTTTATTTTAATAAAAAATTATAATTTCATATTACCCTTTATTTTGTGAATCTGATATACTCTGAAGTTCAAAATCAAAATTATCATTTGAATGTCCAATAGAATGTAGATATTTATGTAATATTTTTTATATCCAATATAATATATCACTTAATGTGTAATCTTTTATTTATTAGATATTTAAATGGGTACATTTGATTTTGAACTTTAGATTATATTAAACCCNTGTGTAAAAGAATAAGAAAATGTTGCTGATAAAGAACAAAAATAGCATTTGGTTTTTCATAATGCTCCGTTTCGATTTCAGTTTCCAGTTGATTGATGCCATAACAGGGTTTGTTGCATTTTCATTTTACTATTGCAGTGGAATATGATGCACCAGTATCAGATGAAGGAACAAAATGCCTTTATGAATACAAAGATCCGTGTGATCTATGCCGAAAGGGATGCTGCTATTGAAGAACGGGATAGAGCGCTGTCTGAAAAGAAGACTGCCTTTGATGAACGAGATGAGGCAATCCAACAGCGAGATACAGCAGTTGCCGAGCGGGATAATGCTCTAAGAGAACGAGACAATGCCATTGCTGCTCTCCAATTCCAAGAAACTACCATGAACAGTGCCTTGAATTGCGGAATCCGTGGGACAAAGCGCATGCACCACCATTTGGACCATCCTGCCAACAATGCTCAGGCTGCTTACAACACAGGAGTGCACGTGACTGATGCGTTCCCTATATCAGCCATTTCATCTGAAGCTGCAAAGTCGCGTGAAGCAAAACGAACAAAGGCAAACAAGAGTCTTGAACCTAAGCCAAAGAAATCATCACGGAAGGGAAAGAAAGTAGGCGAAGATTTAAATAGGCACGTTACCACTGATGGTTCGAAGGCCGAGTGGGACGCCCAGGATATTGGCTTGATGAGCCAGATCGATTTCGATGAGACTACCATGCCGGTACCTGTTTGCTCATGCACCGGAGTACCTAGGCAGTGTTACAAAGGGGGGAACGGGGGCTGGCAGTCATCTTGTTGCACCACCACTTTGTCAGTATATCCGCTACCGCAGTTGCCAAACAAGCGCCATGCACGGATGGGTGGCCGGAAGATGAGTGGCAGCGTTTTTACCAGATTGCTTAGTCGGCTGGCAGCAGCTGGCCATGACCTCTCGGCGCCACTGGATCTAAAGAATTACTGGGCTAAACATGGTACAAATCGCTACATTACCATCAAGTAACTAGTCAATAATCCTTGAAGCATGAAGTATGTTTTTCCTTTCTTCAGCTCCTCTTGGGTCCAAAAACTATCTGATGTCTTTTAACCATGCGATGCTTAACTGGATGAAACAAATGATGGAGCTTTGGGTACTAGAGTAGTTTTCGACCTCTATTGGTTGATATGTAAGACTTTGTGCTGTCTAAAATGCCATCCCCTCCGGAGGGGAGTTTTTGTAACGGTTGAAAAATGTATACATTGTGGATTTGGTGGCAGTTGAATGTGGTTTGCTTGTTTTGCAACACTGCAGCTATTCTAGCTGGCAGTCTTATATTTTCTGCAAAGTTTGCTTCCGATGATTTCCATATGTTCATCAAAATTGCATTGGTTGGCACAGATGCAACTATGTAGATGACTCATGGTCTGAACTTTCTTGTCCCTCAACCCAATCTCTCTCACTCGCATGGGTATGTATGCAACGTCTATGGGTGGTTTCTGACTGGCCATACTTGAACTCTTTTATCAACATATATTTTAGTTTCTTAAGGTTCTAAATTTGGTGAATTGGTTGGTGGCATTGGCTAGCTTGATCTTCTTGTGTTGGGCACAAAAACTCCTAGATGCGTGCATGGCCGGCTCAACACTAGAGCCAAAAAGACATGGGCTTTAGCCCCCATACATAAAAAAAGCTCCAAATTTAAGAGCTCAATGATGAAGTATAAATTAAAGATTAAAACTTGTTATAATTTAGCTTAACAAAAAAAAATCTGAAAGATTAAGTCAACAAAATAAAATTTAGAATTTAAGTCTAAAAATGCAGTCTACATCACACACACACACACACACACACATTTTTTAAATGACAGAAAAAAGTTAACACTTCAATAAAAAAAATATAGTAAGCATCACTCTCCCCTTCCCTCTCCCCCCTATCTCTCTTGCATAAATAAAAATAAATCAAACATATTTTTTATTTCTTTTAAACTCGATTTTATTCTCATTTAAACACAAAATGCCAACTAATTAAATTATTTATTCTCATAAAGGATCCACAATAAAAATTAATTAATATTCAAAAGAAAATTTTAATAAAGTTGTTATTAGAGAAAATAAAACACAACAAAACAATAGGTGAGCGTTGAACAATTTAAGGATCATAATTTTTTTTAAATAATAAAATAATTCAATAACAAGATAACAAGAAATTATGAACGTATACTTGTAATCGATAATATAATACCACAATTTTCTTGAAGAAATTATGAATGCATATAAAACAAATAAGAAGAATATAAAAATAATAATGAAATAATATATTATATTCTAAAAAGTACGATTTAAGCAAGAGATGAGAGAGATAAACAAATGTGTGGATCTATTTACTAAAAAAAGTGTACTTAATCATGATGATCTATATAAATTTACAATTCATATGGATTATACTATTGAACAATTGTATTCAGATTGTATGGATATGAAATAACACANGATGAGAGAGATAAACAAATGTGTGGATCTATTTACTAAAAAAAGTGTACTTAATTATGATGATCTATATAAATTTACAATTCATATGGATTATACTATTGAACAATTGTATTCAGATTGTATGGATATGAAATAACACATATGCAATGTTTAATATATATTAAATGCTTAAATTATTAAAAAAAAAAAAGTATCTAATATCAGGCTGTAACATTGAGCATCTTTACTATAACAGTACATTGTAACTGTTCGCACATTATTTTTGACAAATTAAAAAATGCATAAAATATGGAGTAACACATATTTATCNCTAAATTATTAAAAAAAAAAGTATCTAATATCAGGCTGTAACATTGAGCATCTTTACTATAACAGTACATTGTAACTGTTCACACATTATTTTTGACAAATTAAAAAATGCATAAAATATGGAGTAACACATATTTATCTTTGATCATTGCCTGTCATTCAATATTCAATTTGTCTCACTCAATCGGTTCCATGGATGGAGACTTGATAACAAGGGATGAGCAAAGACTATAATTGTTATGAAATATACAAACACTTTGATCATTTGAATGAGATGAGGTATAGCAAAGCCGATCCTAGGTCCCGACCATTAAAATGGTCGTCTTGGGCCCTAATTTAATTTTCAATCCTTAATTTTTTTTTTTTATTTCACAAGTCTATCTAAAAATTTAAGGAATACTCTAAAATGTAACAATATTTTCATAGATTTGTGTAAAATCTTATATAAACTCCTAAATATAATAATTTCTTCTAAAAAAAATCTAAAAGTAATGATTTATAACTTTAAAAATAATAATCTCTCAATTTCTTTTTCATTATTTTTTCCTCCACATTTACGGCCTCTCTCCGACTTTTTGTCTCCCTCCCACCCTCTATTTTTTATCCTTATCTCTAGTTCTCTTACTGTCTTTTTAAAATTTTATTCTATTTATTTATCTATAAGATCATAATTTCATAATTACACCAAATTTATTATTTGATCTTATCCGATCCCAAAACCACTATCACATTAAAAATAAATCATATTGTACCTCTCTATAAAACATGTAATAATCGTTAAAAAAACTTATTATCTTTTTAAAATATCAAATGAGGCCTCACTTAAAATTCTCGCTTTAAACTTCAACTTGTATTGGGCAGTCAAGAAAATTACAAGGGTTTCTGTGTAACGCCTAGCAAAATTTAGCCTGAAATACTCTAGAATCATAGTAAAATAGGAGTCTCTTTTGACTCCTACTCCGCTCAAATTCTAAGGAGCTGGCTTTTTGAATTCTAATTCTCAATTTATCTCATTACCTCCATTTTTAAGTCATCCTTTATACCCGACTCGAACAGTCTTTTTTGCATGGGGAGAGGTTATATAAACTATGACCCTCTCGAATTATGAAGAAGAGGCGGGGTTCGTAAATTGAATTGTTCGATTTTTATTTTTTATGTCTCTGCATCTCCGTAGCATTTCTTCTGTTCTCTCACTTTGCATGTGTGCAATATGAGCCAACAACCAACCAGTACGATTTCGGGTTCATGGGTTTCAAATATTCATGCCTACTTTAACCTTCCCAATCCAAAAATCTTCACACTCTTCATCATCAGCAGCACTGCCACTTTCTCACTAGGTGTCACCATGATCGTCGAATGGACTTACCATGGTCGATACCACCCGGGATACGATTGGATTGTTTGCTATGCTCCGGTGATGATTGCTCTCCCCGTCCTCTCCTGGATGATATGTCTTTCCTTCGCCTTTGCTTTCAACAAGGGTCAGGTTAAATTGTTGTTACCGGTCACCGATCAGTCACAGTTGGAACAACCACAAGATGAGGTGATGCAACAACTACCACTGGCATTGCATTATCAGCAACCTGGGGTGGTGCAAGTCCAACCTGTTCATGATCACACATCTGATTCGAACTTAAGACGTAAGGGAATAAATATAGAATGTCTGACTGTGGAAACTGATAATAAGGATGACACAGAGACTCTGAAAAGATCATGTTCTTTGCCAGTATATAGCACTCCAATTGACAACAGCAAGATTAAGCGTACATCAAGTTTTTGACTATAGTAAGGATTTTTCTCAATGGCTTGGGCAACCCATCGTGTTTTTTTTCTCATTAAGTTTAAGTTTTTTTTTTTTTTGCCAAATAAAAAACTTTGATTTAGCATATGCGAAATTTGAGAAAAATAACTTGCAAGGAAGTCTTATCTTTATTTTGTTGGAACTGACTCTCGGGTTTGAATTCGATTTTTATATGTAATGATTTCGTACATAAAAATCTCAATATCTTTTTTTATTTTGAAATTCTAGTTATCTCAACCCTTCGCGTTAGACTAATAATGGACCCATGCGTAAAGCTGGCTCCTCACGCATATTGGATAAATCTATGACCAGTGGCTCCGAGGAGCGTTTGCGTTTTAAACTCTTGACCAGTACCAAGTGACCTTTGAACCACTAGGCTAACCCTTGGACCTATCCCAATATCTTTTTATAAAATGTGGGTTCTTAAATTCAATTAAATACATCTGCCACTGCAACAAATGCTTGAAAACAANTTTTTTTTTATTTCACAAGTCTATCTAAAAATTTAAGGAATACTCTAAAATGTAACAATATTTTCATAGATTTGTGTAAAATCTTATATAAACTCNATTTTTTTTATTTCACAAGTCTATCTAAAAATTTAAGAAATACTCTAAAATGTAACAATATTTTCATAGATTTGTGTAAAATCTTATATAAACTCCTAAATATAATAATTTCTTCTAANCTAATGACTGAGTACAATTTTTCTCGAGAATAAGTTATCTCTTCTGTTCCTAAATATCTGTCGTTTTACACAATTTTTTTTGTTCCATAATATCTGTCGNTCCTAAATATAATAATTTCTTCTAAAAAAAATCTAAAAGTAATGATTTATAACTTTAAAAATAATAATCTCTCAATTTCTTTTTCATTATTTTTTCCTCCACATTTACGGCCTCTCTCCGACTTTTTGTCTCCCTCCCACCCTCTATTTTTTATCCTTATCTCTAGTTCTCTTACTGTCTTTTTAAAATTTTATTCTATTTATTTATCTATAAGATCATAATTTCATAATTACACCAAATTTATTATTTGATCTTATCCGATCCCAAAACCACTATCACATTAAAAATAAATCATATTGTACCTCTCTATAAAACATGTAATAATCGTTAAAAAAACTTATTATCTTTTTAAAATATCAAATGAGGCCTCACTTAAAATTCTCGCTTTAAACTTCAACTTGTATTGGGCAGTCAAGAAAATTACAAGGGTTTCTGTGTAACGCCTAGCAAAATTTAGCCTGAAATACTCTAGAATCATAGTAAAATAGGAGTCTCTTTTGACTCCTACTCCGCTCAAATTCTAAGGAGCTGGCTTTTTGAATTCTAATTCTCAATTTATCTCATTACCTCCATTTTTAAGTCATCCTTTATACCCGACTCGAACAGTCTTTTTTGCATGGGGAGAGGTTATATAAACTATGACCCTCTCGAATTATGAAGAAGAGGCGGGGTTCGTAAATTGAATTGTTCGATTTTTATTTTTTATGTCTCTGCATCTCCGTAGCATTTCTTCTGTTCTCTCACTTTGCATGTGTGCAATATGAGCCAACAACCAACCAGTACGATTTCGGGTTCATGGGTTTCAAATATTCATGCCTACTTTAACCTTCCCAATCCAAAAATCTTCACACTCTTCATCATCAGCAGCACTGCCACTTTCTCACTAGGTGTCACCATGATCGTCGAATGGACTTACCATGGTCGATACCACCCGGGATACGATTGGATTGTTTGCTATGCTCCGGTGATGATTGCTCTCCCCGTCCTCTCCTGGATGATATGTCTTTCCTTCGCCTTTGCTTTCAACAAGGGTCAGGTTAAATTGTTGTTACCGGTCACCGATCAGTCACAGTTGGAACAACCACAAGATGAGGTGATGCAACAACTACCACTGGCATTGCATTATCAGCAACCTGGGGTGGTGCAAGTCCAACCTGTTCATGATCACACATCTGATTCGAACTTAAGACGTAAGGGAATAAATATAGAATGTCTGACTGTGGAAACTGATAATAAGGATGACACAGAGACTCTGAAAAGATCATGTTCTTTGCCAGTATATAGCACTCCAATTGACAACAGCAAGATTAAGCGTACATCAAGTTTTTGACTATAGTAAGGATTTTTCTCAATGGCTTGGGCAACCCATCGTGTTTTTTTTCTCATTAAGTTTAAGTTTTTTTTTTTTTTGCCAAATAAAAAACTTTGATTTAGCATATGCGAAATTTGAGAAAAATAACTTGCAAGGAAGTCTTATCTTTATTTTGTTGGAACTGACTCTCGGGTTTGAATTCGATTTTTATATGTAATGATTTCGTACATAAAAATCTCAATATCTTTTTTTATTTTGAAATTCTAGTTATCTCAACCCTTCGCGTTAGACTAATAATGGACCCATGCGTAAAGCTGGCTCCTCACGCATATTGGATAAATCTATGACCAGTGGCTCCGAGGAGCGTTTGCGTTTTAAACTCTTGACCAGTACCAAGTGACCTTTGAACCACTAGGCTAACCCTTGGACCTATCCCAATATCTTTTTATAAAATGTGGGTTCTTAAATTCAATTAAATACATCTGCCACTGCAACAAATGCTTGAAAACAACTTGACAGTGCTAAATCAACAATAGGAACAATAGTTGTATCCCACCCTGAAATCATTAGTATATTACCTCTAATGACTGAGTACAATTTTTCTCGAGAATAAGTTATCTCTTCTGTTCCTAAATATCTGTCGTTTTACACAATTTTTTTTGTTCCATAATATCTGTCGTTTTATGAAACTAAAATATAATTAATATTTTTTCTTCCATATTTACTCTTAATTTTTCAATGCATTAAATTAGGTGGATGCTAAGTGTCTTTCATGTTCTTTTCTTTTTCAATACGTATTGAATAAGAGTATTTTAGTTTTGTTTAATTATTTTTTACTCGTATTATATCTATTTAATAACTTTTTTAATTTTTATGTAAAAACTTTAAACGACAAATATTTAAGAACAAAAAGAGTAATTAAGAATAAANAGCCTCTCTTCGACTTTTTGTCTCCCTCCCACCCTCTATTTTTTATCCTTATTTCTAGTTCTCTTACTGTCTTTTTAAAATTTTATTCTATTTATTTATCTATAAGATCATAATTTCATAATTACACCAAATTNAGGTTTTGATTTGGAGGTTGATGCTGTAACATCATCCTACTCCTATGCAAGCCAAGTTGACAAGAAGGTTCACTCTAACCCAATAAAATCTAGTGGGTAATGTGTCACGATGGTTTTAGATNCATAATTTCATAATTACACCAAATTTATTATTTGATCTTATCCGATCCCAAAACCACTATCACATTAAAAATAAATCATATTGTACCTCTCTATAAAACATGTAATAATCGTTAAAAAAACTTATTATCTTTTTAAAATATCAAATGAGGCCTCACTTAAAATTCTCGCTTTAAACTTCAACTTGTATTGGGCAGTCAAGAAAATTACAAGGGTTTCTGTGTAACGCCTAGCAAAATTTAGCCTGAAATACTCTAGAATCATAGTAAAATAGGAGTCTCTTTTGACTCCTACTCCGCTCAAATTCTAAGGAGCTGGCTTTTTGAATTCTAATTCTCAATTTATCTCATTACCTCCATTTTTAAGTCATCCTTTATACCCGACTCGAACAGTCTTTTTTGCATGGGGAGAGGTTATATAAACTATGACCCTCTCGAATTATGAAGAAGAGGCGGGGTTCGTAAATTGAATTGTTCGATTTTTATTTTTTATGTCTCTGCATCTCCGTAGCATTTCTTCTGTTCTCTCACTTTGCATGTGTGCAATATGAGCCAACAACCAACCAGTACGATTTCGGGTTCATGGGTTTCAAATATTCATGCCTACTTTAACCTTCCCAATCCAAAAATCTTCACACTCTTCATCATCAGCAGCACTGCCACTTTCTCACTAGGTGTCACCATGATCGTCGAATGGACTTACCATGGTCGATACCACCCGGGATACGATTGGATTGTTTGCTATGCTCCGGTGATGATTGCTCTCCCCGTCCTCTCCTGGATGATATGTCTTTCCTTCGCCTTTGCTTTCAACAAGGGTCAGGTTAAATTGTTGTTACCGGTCACCGATCAGTCACAGTTGGAACAACCACAAGATGAGGTGATGCAACAACTACCACTGGCATTGCATTATCAGCAACCTGGGGTGGTGCAAGTCCAACCTGTTCATGATCACACATCTGATTCGAACTTAAGACGTAAGGGAATAAATATAGAATGTCTGACTGTGGAAACTGATAATAAGGATGACACAGAGACTCTGAAAAGATCATGTTCTTTGCCAGTATATAGCACTCCAATTGACAACAGCAAGATTAAGCGTACATCAAGTTTTTGACTATAGTAAGGATTTTTCTCAATGGCTTGGGCAACCCATCGTGTTTTTTTTCTCATTAAGTTTAAGTTTTTTTTTTTTTTTTGCCAAATAAAAAACTTTGATTTAGCATATGCGAAATTTGAGAAAAATAACTTGCAAGGAAGTCTTATCTTTATTTTGTTGGAACTGACTCTCGGGTTTGACCTCGATTTTTATATGTAATGATTTCGTACGTAAAAGTCTCAATATCTTTTGTTATTTTGAAATTCTAATTATCTCAACCTTCGCGTTAGACTAATAATGGACCCATGTGCAAAGCTGCATATTGGATAAATCTATGACCAGTGGCTCCGAGGAGCGTTTGCGTTCTAAACTCTTGACCAGTACCAAGTGACCTTTGAACCACTGGCCTAACCCTTGGAGCTATCCCAATATCTTTTTATAATATGTGGGTTCTTAAATTCAATTAAATACATCTGCCACTGCAACAAATGCTTGAAAACAACTTGACAGTGCTAAATCAACAATAGGAACAATAGTTGTATCCCACCCTGAAATCATTAGTATATTACCTTTAATGACTGAGTACAATTTTTCTCGAGAATAAGTTATCTTTTTCGTTCCTAAATATCTGTCGTTTTACACAATTTTTTTTGTTCCATAATATCTGTCGTTTTATGAAACTAAAATATAATTAATATTTTTTCTTCCATATTTACCCTTAATTTTTTAATGCATTAAATTAGGTGGTTGCTAAGTGTCTTTCATATTCTTTTCTTTTTCAATACGTATTGAATAAGAGTATTTTAGTTTTATTTAATTATTTTTTACTCATATTATATCTATTTAATAGCTTTTTTAATTTCTATGTAAAAACTTTAAACGACAAATATTTAAGAACAAAAAGAGTAATTAAGAATAAATGATGTGATTTCCATTGCCGAATATACGATGGGTTTTGATTTGGAGGTTGATGCTGTAACATCATCCTACTCCTATGCAAGCCAAGTTGACAACAAGGTTCACTCTAACCCAATAAAATCTAGTGGGTAATGTGTCACGATGGTTTTAGATCAGAAAGTGTAAGAGTTACTATTTCGAGTTTTTTAGTATCTAAATCGATATACTGTTTGATCCAATGCACGTGATTTTATGGGGATCGCAAAAAATGTTAAATTACGTTGTTACCATATATTTTAAAAAAAAATAAAAAATACTTTGTTCAAATGATTTTCGACTCTTGACAAAATTCATTAGTCAACAAGGCTCCATTAGCCTTTGGGTGTGTGTTAATTTAAATATCGCACTTGCCTCTTCCTCTTTTAAGAGGTTGTGTTAAGTGCGTGTTTAAAAAAGATTGAAAAATTTTTTTGGGTGCATGTATGTGGAGGCGTTTGGTGTTGGGTTAGAATCCCATACTTTGGGTCAGAGACTCTACGGTTGTAGTAATCCTGCCTCAGTGTTAGGGTATTGGCTATCTCACATCAAATAATTTTAGGTATGTGTGTTAATTTAAAAATCGCACTCGGCAATTCCTCGTTTTTAAGAGTTTGTCTTAAGTGTGCGTTCAAAAAACAAAACTAGGCGTCATGCAAGTGGTTTTCGAGTCAAGAAAGGGAAATCAATGGGGCAACACAAATGGTACCACCAAAACAGTAATGCAGAGAAGTTTATTTACCAAAAAGGACAGAGAGCCTGATGTTTCTAAGTGGCCGCAAACGTTGACCTATAGGTTTAGAATTTATGTTAGGGTTAAAAATTTAATCTAATTTATTAATGAATAATGTTATATAATTTAAATAAAATTTAAAAAATTATAATTTAAATACATATCATCTTTTAATAAATTAATCCGATTAAATAAAATTTTAATTCAAAATCTTTCTATTTGTACAACAAGCTTGTGAACTAGATCATATAAATTAGGATGAGCAAAAACGTCAACGTTCAAAAAAAATTGAGAACTAGAGCACCTATGGACACACATTCACTAATATATGTTGATTATATATTTTATTTTTATATATCTGTTGATTATAAAGTTTTAAAATGATAAGTGTAATTTATAAATATTATTCTAATTTGATATGTATCTTTAGATTTGAGTTATTATTTACTAAATAAAAATTTAAATAATAATAAATAAATATATAAATATATAAGCGTAAAAATTCTTCGAATTCACGAATTAAAAAATTGAATTCGTTCGTCAAGAATGTTANAAAAAAAAATTGAGAACTAGAGCACCTATCGACACACATTCACTAATATATGTTGATATTATATTTTATTTTTATATATCTGTTGATTATAAAGTTTTAAAATGATAAATGTAATTTATAAATATTATTCTAATTTGATATGTATCTTTAGATTTGAGTTATTACTTACTAAATAAAAATTTAAATACTAATAAATAAATGTATAAATATATAAGAGTAAAAATTCTTCGAATTCACGAATTAAAAAATTGAATTCGTTCGTCAAGAATGTTAAAAATTTAAAATGATTACGTGATTAAGCTGGGCACCATCTAATTCCAGTATAAAGCATTTAAGAGCTTCCAACACATTAGAGCTTACTCTGGATGTGGCAATCACACGTGTATAAACCTAGTGACTGGGACCCACATCCAGGGCATAAAAATCTCAATGGGACCCAGAAGATCAACGTTTGAAATTTTGCCAAGAAAAAGTGCCATATGTTCAGGAGGAGTTTAGGGGCCCTAATTTAAAAAGGCCCATACTGGATNCGGGCATAAAAATCTCAATGGGACCCAGAAGATCAACGTTTGAAATTTTGCCAAGAAAAGGTGCCATATGTTCAGGAGGAGTTTAGGGGCCCTAATTTAAAAAGGCCCATACTGGATTATTACTTCGATGTGACAAGGCAACCCATTCAAAACGACATCGTTATGATGATCAGAATGACGTAGACGACGTCGGTTTTATATCCTCATGAATTATAAAATTGGGCTCTCATTTTCTACAATCAATGGGCCTGTCCTATATCCTAATCTTATGTGGGCCATGGTTGATAATTGTTGTGGGCCCAACACTTTTATACTGATTATTGACATCGGACACATGGTTCTTTCTTAGTGGATAAGTTTAATTTTGTCCCTTAAGAAGCTAAAAAACTGACACGTGCAAGCAGATTGGTTATGAATAAAATCGTAAAATAGATTGAATTCTAATTTGAATATACATTCGACTTGGTAGTTTTTGAATTATTATTAGAATTTGAAGTCGAATAAGATATATCAGGAATTTGAAGTTGGATCAATAGATCTAATCGTTGTTTTTAAATACGGTTGTCGGTTAACATCTCTTCTAATTTATCGATATGATTGTAAAGAAAAATCAATATCTTGATGTAAGTCCAAAGACAGATCTTATGTCACTCCACCTTATCGTATAAAACTGTGGATCTCCAAATGTCCAACTCGATTATAATTTTTTGATTTTAATTTAAAAATGTGTTTGAATAACTAATTCAATTGCATTATGTCAATATAAAATATTCAATTTCAGGATAAAATTGAGTTGAATTTTAAATATAGTTTGTTAATATTTATTCGGTCTATTCAAAATAGTTTATATTAGAATAAAGTGATATCGGAATTAAATTTCATTTGTTAAGAACCCTATTTTTGTTTTGCAATCATGTAATAAACCATCAAGGTTGGTTTCGGATTTTGCTTGTCAATAGTTTCGGGTGAGACGAGTTTGTGTCAGATATTAAAAAACACTCTATTCATATCTGATTCGTTTATCAATTTGTATCTAATAAATCATGTTATATATCGGATTCGTGTAATGTATGAGTTGTATATAACCGGTATATAAACGAGTCATATTCTGCATTTTTTCTTTTGATGAATTTGACTCATTATCTATTCACCTATTAATTGTGTCGTATCAAAACTTCTCGTTTGCGAAATGAGTTTTTTATGAAAGACTCAAACTTTCTAATTTTATATCACATTTGTATAGTGTTAATATATCATATCATATTTTGACACCTCTAATTACCGAGCCGAGCCGAAGAGTCAATAATTAAATCAACTACAAAGATAATGAACCACTTTGGTTACCCATTAATTTCATACAAGAAAATAATCATAATACTCAAATTGCCAAGCATCTACGCAATGAATATAAGTGTGAATCCATTAGTGGTTTACCTAGAAAGGAAGATGAATTAAATTAGAGATGGAATAGGCCATAAAAGGGAAAGATATATAAGCAAATGCACACACACCATTAACTCTCTGGAATCATGAAGGATACATTAAAACTATAGCAGTAGTTGGGTTTTGTAATGATATTGTCACCTAAATATTGTCTGCATTAACGCTGGTCTTATCAACTGTTTTTATTGCTTATTCACCTTATTTTCTCATTCAAAATCAGTGTTGAGGTAAATAATAATAATAATAATATAACAATATTCCAAAAATATTATTACGGTAAAAATCCAAAAAAAAAAAAAGTTGTGGAAAACAAATATTAATAGTTGACATATTGCTCACCATCCCTACTGTTGTATTTTAAAGTCATGAGTTTGAATCTCGTCATCTTCAACTTTTATAATAATTTTTGATAAAAAAGTGATAATTCTTTGAGAAAAAAAAAGAAAAATAATATTAATAAACCGAATGAACTTGGATCAATGACTATTGATCTTTCATCCAAATAATAAATCTTGTGTTTAAAATTCGGAGTTCAATATCTCTATAGTAGAATAAGACTATTTTTTACTCACCTCTCTCAAGTCCCTTCATAGCAAGCGTCTTGTACAATGTATAAGTTTTTTATAATAAAAATAATAATAACATATGATCATCTACCATTATATAGTCATTCAATCATGCCCTTCTAAAGTTGTATTTCTCAACTTACATATTTATCATTTGCATGGTTTAAAAAAATATTATTTTCATATTAACAATTTTTAAAAGAACTCCATCCACATCTCTCCCCCTCTCTATCCCTTCGTATAGCTCGTAAACACAATATTGCGGACGTCAAAATTTAAATTTTGATTTTTTAAATAGTCATAGCCAATTTTGCTATCTCTAAAGCTCGTTTTTTTTTTACAGGGCTGTCGAAGGAGTGTAGAAACATCAATATTTATTTATATAAAAAAAAAGTTGGAGAGAGAGAGAGAGAGAGGGGTAATATTTCTATGTGTCAATGTTCAACATTTTTAAAGTGGTTAATGCCTTGTATCATTGCCAATTTACACAATTTGCGGTGATAGAGGAGGAAAGAAAGGGTCGTCAAATGCGGTCGGAATGAAATTCAAATTCGGTCGAAATCCAAATTCGGCCCAAATGAAACTCATATTAAATTCACGCGTATATGAAGTCCGTGTTATAGTCATCGTCGTCGTCGATGCAGAGAGAGAGAGTGAAAGTCAGAGAGAGATAGAGAGAGAAACTCACACATAGTAGAGCGTGAAAACACACATAGATAAAGAAAGTCATAGAACCTTCTCCGCCTTCGGTCTTGCCGTCCCCTCCCTTTTGATACACTTCACTCCAAATGCGGCGGAGATTCTGTTGCTATGTTGCGCCGCTTGGCTCTGCAAATAGCCGATTCGCTTTCAGGTACTCTTTAAAAGCTTGTCTTCTCCGATTTTTTTTTTTAACACTAAACATTATTTTTTATTTTTTGATTTCATATTTATTTTGTGTCCTCATTTACTAGTTTATGGAGTTATGATCGAGTGTTAGTTAGTTCACGTTTTTGATATGTTCTGTTTGTTGGGTTTCTTGTGTAGATATGAGCTTGAATTGAGGAGATTTAGGCGGGTCTGAACTGGGAATTTAGGGGGTTTTCAAGAAAAAATGGGGGATAGTGAGCAAGTTAATAGTGATATGATACAAAGACTACAATCATCTTTCGGGACTTCATCTTCTTCATTTCCGAAGCAACCCATTTCGATGAATCAACTAGACATACCTCAGTCGAATAGTTCCCAATTTCGGGCTCAGATGCGACAATTTTCGCCCAGTTTTAACGTTGAGAGCGGTAAGAGAGTCGGTATACCGCCTTCTCATCCCCAAATACCACCTGTTTCGCCGTATTCACAGATTCCGGTATCCCGTCCGGTGAATCAGCAAATGGGTTTGCAGAATTTTAGTAGTCCAGGGCCCTCCCATTCGCGATCTTTTTCGCAACCCTCATTTTTTTCGCTTGATTCTTTGCCACCGTTAAGCCCTTCACCCTACCGGGATTCCCCATCAACGTCCATTTCTGACGCTATATCGACTGATCTGTCAATGGAGGATCGGGATGCGTCTTCACACTCTTTATTGCCGCCCTCGCCTTTCTCCAGGGGTAATTCTTTAAGAGTAGGGGAGAATCTTCCTCCTCGTAAATCGCATAGGCGGTCTAACAGTGATATCCCATTTGGGTTTTCTACTATAATGCAATCTTCGCCACCACTAATCCCATTAAGGGATCCGGGGGCTTTGGAACATTCAATGTCTGCTAGAGATAATTCGGGTGCTAAGCTGGTTTCGGTGGTTAAACGGGAATCGAGTTGGGATAAAGGTGGTGGGTGCAATGCAGAAGGGACGGGGGAGAGGAAATCTGAAGGTGAAGTTGTGGATGATCTGTTTTCTGCGTACATGAATTTGGATAACATCGATGCATTGAACTCTTCTGAGACTGATGAGAAGCTGGGTAATGAGAATCGTGAAGATTTGGACAGTAGAGCCAGTGGTACAAAGACAAATGGAGGCGATAGCAGTGATAACGAGGCGACAAGCAGTGTAAATGAAAGTGGCAACAGTATGCAGCGACCAGGAATCTCTTTGGCTGAGAAGAGGGAAGGAGTCAAAAGGAATGCTGGGGGAGATATTGCTCCGACCAGCAGACACTATAGAAGTGTTTCCATGGATAGCTTTATCGGGAAAATGAACTTTGGGGACGAGTCGCCAAAACTTCCTCCTTCCCCGGGACCGCACACTGGACAGCTCTCACCAAGCAATTCAATTGATGAAAATACAAATACTTTCAGCTTGGGGTTTGGGAATGGTGAGTTTAGTGGGGCTGAACTCAAGAAAATCATGGCAAATGAGAAACTTTCTGAGATAGCCTTGAGTGATCCCAGAAGAGCCAAAAGGTAATCTGTTCCTCCTCCGTTGCTTTAGTGTAGCTGACTGTTTTTGTCCTACTGAATCAATTGATTTTCTGTGTTAGGATTTTGGCCAATCGCCAATCAGCTGCTCGTTCCAAAGAACGGAAGATGCGATATATTGCAGAGTTGGAACATAAGGTCCAAACTCTACAGACCGAAGCTACCACATTGTCTGCTCAGCTTACATTATTGCAGGTGGGAATGTCATAGTGCTGAGAATTTTTGTTGGTTCAATATTTTTTTGTTTCCAGTGTGTTACTGATGCTTTTTTCGTTATTTGCATCCAGAGGGATTCTGCTGGGCTTAGTGGCCAGAACAATGAGTTGAAGTTTCGCCTGCAAGCCATGGAACAACAAGCACAACTCCGTGATGGTATGATTGTGCTTGCTTCTATGATATTTGTGTGCCCAGCTTTTGTGATGCACAAAATTATAGCAACCTTTTTTGTCTGCTGAATGATAGTTGCTTGTATGCATTCTGTGCTGCATGAGGTACAAGATTATGTCATATATCTCTTAAGTTGGATTCATGGTAGTAATTTAGCTGGATATGTGGTACCATGGGGCTACTAGTTGGGTGGGTTGGGTGCAGTTAGATGTCAACACTTCAACCAGAATGGTATATTGGTTGCGCGGCGTGCTAAACCTGGTCTAAACTGAGGTACTTAATTCTACACTCGTACCATTCTTTTAAGGTGGGATTGGGGATTAGATTTGTTGTATAAGATCTGGTAGGTCAAAGAGCTGAAAGAAAAGTAAGAAATTGACTTAAATAAACCAGAAATAAAACAAAAATAAGCAGCTCATGAAATCCTATTAGTAAGATCTCATTGATTTTTATAAACAATTAACCAACAGAAGTGGAGAAGGGAAGTATCGCTGTGGGCCTTCACTGTAGTTAATTGCTTTTCTAATTTGATTGATGAATGCTAACTATATTCTTTACTGAATCTTGCTGATTGCATATTCAATGAGTTTTTGTGAAATGGATGGCGGCAGTTCAGTTTTAAAAGGTGAATGCATCTCTTTGAAAGTATTTTTTATGTCTTGTGAGTAAAATTTTAACAGTTTAAGCACATCTTGGGAGTAAATGGTCAGAACCCATTTGTCTTTGGTTTCCTGGGTTTTATTACCTATTTAGGTAGTGTTTTTTGCAATTGCAGCGCTGAACTCTCTGTATGAATTCATCTGAATTGCTAAGATCAAGTAGGTTATGTTATCTGAGGATAAAATTCTCCTGTACAGATACATGTTTATATGCACAGCTATCCTCCTTGGACAAACTTAGTAGTCGCAATATTTTGTATGAAAGCAGCTATACAGTAACACGTGACCTGTAAAACTCTTGTTACACTTGTGTTTTAATGCATGTGGGAAATGATTATACAATCATTTGTTAAATAACTAGTTATGCTGTCATTTTGGTTATTTACCATGTGGTTGGTTGGAAGCCAACTTTGGATAGTGCAAATGTATTGCATTGTTGGAAGCAAGTGTAATGGTGTCAAGTCTCCTTGTTTTCTAGACAGTTACATGTTGAGCTAGTACTGCATCCAGAGTGTTAGATACTTATTTTTAAAAACTATTTTTTGTTCCACTACTTTATTATTTGTTACTTGTTTAACATTCAATTAAACAAGTACAAAATTCCTCTTCCACGAACTTTAACTGTAAGCCTAAAAATGTTCTATTAAGTGTGCTGTGAAATATTCATGGTTCTTAATTTTGGCTAATGCAACAGCTCTGAATGAGGCTTTAACTGCGGAGGTTCAACGTTTGAAGATCGCGACTGCAGAGCTAGGTGGAGAATCTGCCAAGTTTCAGCAGCTTTCAATCAACCCCCAGATGTTCCAGTTCAACCAGCAACATGCTTCCCAACTCAACATACATCAGCTGCCACAACAGCAGCAGCAATCTCAGTCACAGCAACAGAACAGCAGCACAAGTGCAAAACAGGAGTCAAACCAGTAGTTGTTTGATCAACTATGTGATGGCGAGGAAGCTTTTTAGTGCCTAATGAATTATTCTATCAGTATATGGTTCTTAATATATTTTCCAGTAGCATTTCAAACCATGATTCGTTCATTAGTTTTGCATCTGCAACAAGACACATCAAGGTGTCGTATTTACAAATTCTAGTTTATCATGCATTTTCATCCCAAATCTTAGTCATATACCGATCATATTATTTGTAGCTTTTATTTATGCCCATGTTAATTCTGTTGTTTTGAGGTGACTTGGACTTGTTATATTGTGACATTTGGAGAGTTTCATGAACTCTTCCTCATGTTCTTTTGTTTTTCATTGAGTAATGAATGGGAACTGTCTTCAATTGTTATTGGATTTATTACTTGGTTTGTTGGTCTGCAAGTAGTAGTAGACGCAATGTTCTTCTTTGTCTTTCTCTTCTTTTGTTGTAAGACCAGTGGTTACGCAATCTGGTATTAGACCAGACGTCAAAGTGATTTATTCACTCCGTGTCTGCTAGTGATATCAGAGAGTGGTCTTGGTGGTTTACTACCAAGACACCTAAATCCTCCGCCCGCAGCAATGATAGAGTTAGGTCGGGTCGATCACAACCGGAGGTTGGAGAAATCCTTCTTATTATGGTCTTAGCCCTGGATATGTTCAAATAGTTGGTAGGCTGCTCCTACGCTAATGGCCTCTAGAGATCACGTCACTGTAATGTTCGGTAACCTATCCTGATCTCCATCGGCGATGGTCATAAAATGGCGATAGATGCACAATGGGATTGTTTGGTTACACCACTTAATATTTAAAATTGAATATTTTAAGTAGTTAATGAATTAAAATTTGTGTGGTTACTTAATTTGTATCACTTTATTTTAAATATATTTTTTAAAAATAAGCTAAATTTTTAAATAATAAGTTATTACTCATCACTATTTTTACCCCTTAAATCTCATTTTTCTCCTTGTTTAATTTTTTTATTTCAAAATACTAAGTTTATTTTATCTATACTCACTTCATCACTTACTAAACCTACATATATCTATATCCACTAATTAAAAATTAAATTTCATTCAATGTTATATCAATCTACTATATGGAGAATGATCAAAATTTTATTTAGGTGTATTATTTCAGTGCGAAAATATTTTAGAAACGGAATAAAAATAAATAATTTATTTAAAAAATATTAGTTAAAATATACCAAAATATCTTAAAACATCTCAAAATATTTCAAAGACATTGATCAAAATATCTTGAAATAAATCGAAATATTCTAAATCATATTGGAACATTAAAATTTCGCGTCAATTACTATTTTTGTTTTAGTTTTGTTGATATATATTCAATAGTTTAATTGGATGAATATAAAGGCAGCGAACTTATTCATTAATGGGATGTATATAGATATTATAAACTTAGTAATTTGAACTAAGAGAATTAAATGGAATGGAAATAGCCCCATCCAATACTAAAATGTTAATCGGTAAAGATTTTGTAAATTCCTTATATACATAAATTTTTCCTCAACACTCTTAACTTTTCAATACCAACAAATTCACTACAACTATCATTGTGTCACTGTTATCACCACTACTGTTGTGCAGTCGTCACCCCTACCATCACCGAAGCCACCACTACTATCATTTTTGTGGCAGGAATAAGGTAGTTGCAATAAGATGGTTAAAAAAAATGGTAAAATTATAATAATAATAATTTTTAGACTTTAGCTTCTTAAATCTATTAAATAGTTTGATTCAATTTAATACTTAAATTTCAGTATATACCAAACAGTATGCAAATTAAAAAATTCAGCATTAAACACATAAAATTTTACATTTAATTTTCTACATTTAACTTTCAATTTTATCAAATACGACATATGTTTAGGTTCGAACTTTAGAAAACCACTTTTAGGGTCATCAGCTAATAAGGCTTTCCGGTATCATACTATTTATACTATGATTTATGGTCACAAATCATGGTTTAATTTATTTGTAGTCGTGGATCATGAAAATAATAAATTAAAGTGAAATAATATGATAAGAAAATTTTACATGGGGGATATTTTTATTTGACAAATGTGTAAAATACTAGTTGTAATGTTAGCAACCTAAGGTCAGAGAAGTCAGGATGGCCGAGTGGTCTAAGGCGCCAGACTCAAGTTCTGGTTCTCGTGAGAGAGCGTGGGTTCAAATCCCACTTCTGACATTTTTTAAGTATCCTTTCTTTTTTCTTTCCAAGCAAAAATATTTGTCTTCTGGTAAATAACTTTTTTTGATTTCTCGTGGCATCTCCAACAACAAAATGCATTTTATCTATTCAAAAAGTAATATTTTTTTATTTTAGCTACTCATTTTTTTAATACGCACTCCAACATATTTTTTATATTTTTAACTACTCCTTTTAAATATTATTTCTCATTCTTTTTGTATTATTTTTTTTAGAAATAATGAAAGAGAGAGAATGAAATAAATGAGAGGAATAGAGAAAAAATAATATAAATTATCTTTATAAGTTGTTACAGTGATTCTATGTTGGAGCATGATTTTTGACTTTGATTAGCTAAATTTTAACTATTTTACTCATTTGAAACATCTGTTGAAGATGCTCTTAGCAGACTGAAACCAATAACTCCATAAGCTACAAATAATTTACCGGTAGCAAATGATGGAAAATGTGTCTCTCTTCATGCATCACACTCATTCAACTACCGAAAGATTATATCTGTCTGTCTCAAATAACAAGTGAATTATGATTCGAATCTAATTCTACACTAAATCACTTCAATATTTATAATACTATGTCGCCTCCTATAAAATATCAATTTCCCACATCCAATACTTTTTATTGGCAAAACTTCTGCAATAAAAATAAGGAATAAATCTTATGATAAAGCTTTAAATTTATTCTCCACTTACCATTTAACAACTCAATTTTTCATAATGTTTTTACAGTAAATTAAATATATCAAAAAAGAACAACTCAGTAGTTTTTCGTTACTATGATATTTGTGAAAAATCTATCCATATGTGGAGAGATTACTTATCTGACACGAATTCTTAACGTATGTCAAAATAAAATAATTTCGTCGTTGCACCAGACCTACACCGTGCCCACCCTCAACTTAAATATACCAAGGCACATAAAAAATGATCCCTCGATCAGAATTCAAGCAAAATCTATTATAGTTAGATTGATCATTCTTTAAATGAGTTCAAGTGGCACATGTCAACTTCCGTTTGTTTCGGAAAATAAAAGAGTGGATATGTAGATGATTTAACTTTGAAGGAATATAATAGATGGGAGTAAACTATACAAATGATCTCTTATTATGCAATCCGACTAAATATGACTCTTTTGTCAAAATTCGTTGTTATTCTTAAGGGACCACCTCAAATGTAANTTTTAAGTATCCTTTCTTTTTTCTTTCCAAGCAAAAATATTTGTCTTCTGGTAAATAACTTTTTTTGATTTCTCGTGGCATCTCCAACAACAAAATGCATTTTATCTATTCAAAAAGTAATATTTTTTTATTTTAGCTACTCATTTTTTTAATACGCACTCCAACATATTTTTTATATTTTTAACTACTCCTTTTAAATATTATTTCTCATTCTTTTTGTATTATTTTTTTTAGAAATAATGAAAGAGAGAGAATGAAATAAATGAGAGGAATAGAGAAAAAATAATATAAATTATCTTTATAAGTTGTTACAGTGATTCTATGTTGGAGCATGATTTTTGACTTTGATTAGCTAAATTTTAACTATTTTACTCATTTGAAACATCTGTTGAAGATGCTCTTAGCAGACTGAAACCAATAACTCCATAAGCTACAAATAATTTACCGGTAGCAAATGATGGAAAATGTGTCTCTCTTCATGCATCACACTCATTCAACTACCGAAAGATTATATCTGTCTGTCTCAAATAACAAGTGAATTATGATTCGAATCTAATTCTACACTAAATCACTTCAATATTTATAATACTATGTCGCCTCCTATAAAATATCAATTTCCCACATCCAATACTTTTTATTGGCAAAACTTCTGCAATAAAAATAAGGAATAAATCTTATGATAAAGCTTTAAATTTATTCTCCACTTACCATTTAACAACTCAATTTTTCATAATGTTTTTACAGTAAATTAAATATATCAAAAAAGAACAACTCAGTAGTTTTTCGTTACTATGATATTTGTGAAAAATCTATCCATATGTGGAGAGATTACTTATCTGACACGAATTCTTAACGTATGTCAAAATAAAATAATTTCGTCGTTGCACCAGACCTACACCGTGCCCACCCTCAACTTAAATATACCAAGGCACATAAAAAATGATCCCTCGATCAGAATTCAAGCAAAATCTATTATAGTTAGATTGATCATTCTTTAAATGAGTTCAAGTGGCACATGTCAACTTCCGTTTGTTTCGGAAAATAAAAGAGTGGATATGTAGATGATTTAACTTTGAAGGAATATAATAGATGGGAGTAAACTATACAAATGATCTCTTATTATGCAATCCGACTAAATATGACTCTTTTGTCAAAATTCGTTGTTATTCTTAAGGGACCACCTCAAATGTAAATCATGAGTGTAAGGTTAATAGATTCAGATCTCCTCCATTATATTTTTTCATTAATTTCTTTTGATGGTTAGGTGAAATATTTTATTTTAATGGACAAGATCTTCTCTTTTCAATCAATCTAGCTAACCATTCTTAACACTTCTCAAGCGGCAACGACGAGATCAAACGGAAAGATGGAAACTTCCTAATTCGGCACTTGAATTTGTCTTCAATTTTTGCTTCGAATCCCATTCAATCTCCAATAGATATGCATGTCACTAGTTTGCCATATCTTTTCTCTCTCTCTACCAGCCCTTGAACCCACAACCAAGTGATTGAAATTTGAGGTCCACAACCACCAAGCTAGAAGGAAGGCCGGTACTAGTTTGCCATATCAAGCGTTATCTTCATCTCCAAAAAAGCATTTCTCTAACTCACCGAGTAGTACTCGGTTCTCCTACTCGTTCATGTTCTTTCGTTTCTCCATTGCACACTCATAAGATGATAATATATATATATACACACACAAACATACAATCACTAATTCTTAGCATATTAGTATGCTTGCAAAGTTGCAATCAATTGTCTTAATTTTTACTTTATACCCAAAAAAATTATTTTTTTACATTAAATCCTGAATTTCATAAATTATTTCCAATTTATCCCATAGATTAACCTCCGTTTTAGATTCCGATAAAAATTGATGGATATGCCCTCCAATAATGTGAATGATTAGTTTATATTTTTGCCAAAAAACAACATACGTGGGTGACAAGTGCATAACTTTTTAAAA